TATATATATATATATGTATGTGTGTGTTTGTTTAAATATTTATAAAATACTATATTAATAATATTAATTGAATATTACCTTAATACTTATATATTATAATTAATAGTACTATACAAAAAAAATACTAATTTACTTAAATATTTATAACATCACTTAAATTGTAATAATATTTGTGCATGATTTTATTTTCCTTATATATGTGTATATATATATATATATGTTATTTTGACAATTTTAAAATGTTATTTTCTTAATAAAAAAAAACTAGATTATGATAACTCGTGAGTTGTGCGGAGAGTTCAAGTTTCTTCTCTCGTCTTCCTTTCTTTTTCTCATTTTTTAGTGATTTGAGTTAAGGGGAGTTTGTTGATTGAAATTGATAGTGTTTATTTGTTGAATTATGCCTAGCATGTTCTTATAATGGCTAAATTTGGTTGAATGCATGAATTAAGAGATTAATTGTGCTTAATGTTGTTGTAGGGGTGGTTGAAGATAACTTGGTGAATTTTGGTCTCGATGGTTGCATGTTGCTTATGGTACAAATTTTGAGTTGTTATGTTGAATCATATGTTGCATGGTAGTTTAAATGAGTTTCTTGTAGGTTTTTGAGCCAATTTGAGATTTTTGAAGTGTGAAAATCTTCACCGTGTTGGGCATGCCTTCATAGTGTTGGGTGTGGCTTAAGTTAGAGACGTCAAGCCTAAGATGAGCAGAACCAAGCGTGATCAAGATAAAGGTTCTTTGCTTGGATGATGCCAGATATTGATTTTGTGGCGTTGAGTGTAGGTCAAACAGAGGCTCTCTACCTGGATGAGGCCAAACATAGGTTTAACTACATTGGGTGTGATTGATATAAAAGCATTTTGCTTCATTCGTGTTGGGTGCAAGTGGATTAGTGTCAAGCGTGGGCGAGTCAAGCTTGTGTTCCTAAATAAAAACTTGTTGTTTATTTGACCAAGTGTTGAGCATGTGTTTAGTAGATTGGTTATTCACATGATTTATGATGTTTTATGAATGTAGTTCATTATACATTGATTTATGATGACGTATAATGATTTTTAAGTTGTTTATGAGTGGAAGTTGATTAAGTTGCAAGTTGTTGGTTGATTAAAGATGTTAAGTTGTGTAACATGTAGTGATGATATGCATGCTAAGTTGAGATACATAAAATTAAAGGAGAGTGGAAGTTGTTTTAGAAACTAAAATATCATATTGTGTGGATATACGTTGTAATGTTTTGAGAGCCTAAAGTCAATAACCTTTAATGAGATAGTTGTCTTCTAAATGGGTAGTTTATTTTAGATTGTCTCCTTCAGGTATTATGTGGAAACAATATAAGGGGTAGGTCGAGGCATACCGATTAAAAAATGACCGATGTAGATGCCTACGGGGGCCAAGTCAAGTCATAAGTGTCATAAGCAACCAACATTGAGTAATGTATGAAGTTAAAAATTAAAATTATTGATTGATTATTGGAAATGTGCATAATACTTTGAGCTTAGTCTGCGAGCTAATTTCATATGAGACTTAGATATGCATATTAAAGTTGCAGTAGTTTCACGCTCATTTTATTTTTCCTTAACAATAGTATTGGACTTTTCCAGTTTAAGTGACAAAAGTGATAAATCAATTTAAATTGTTAAACAAGTGTTTGAGTGGGCTGAAGTTGTATCTATTTGATGTGGTTGCAATAGGTAAGACATAGTGATACGGTAGGGTCAAATTACTTAGACTACTCATTTCAGTTGTAAGAGATCTTCATGAGTTGATATGTATAATGACACATTAATTATTGAAAGTTGTTTAAGTTGTGGTTGAAATTGTATATGTTAAGAATATTGTACATGATGTATGTTGTACTAGTTGTTGTATGTTGTGAATGATGGTAGTAAGTTGATGTTATGATGTGGTTAATGTGATGTTCTTAAGTTGTTTATGTTGCTTAAGTTATAATTTCACTACTTGTTGTATTATTATTTTTGTCACAAACATGTCCTTTCTTTTCATTGTAATCGGACTGCAATGATCATACTTAGTATGAAAGTAGGGCAATATTAACTTGGATGGCTTGACTGTTAGTTGATGGTTATGTTGGAGATGACATATTTTGAGAAGACTACTTTGATGTTGTATTGTTATATATAGACGTTTGACCGACGATAGTGTTTTCTTGTATTCGGTAACATGTATTGAAGTATATTGTATATATGTATACGAATGATATATAATCTCATAAGGGATATTTATGTTTTTAATTAGTTATATTGTTAGCAGTTGTTTTATATTTTTTTGCACCCCATATATATATATATATATATATATATATATATATATATATGTGTTTGTAT